GCCTGTTTGCCAGCTTGAAAGGGCAAATTATGCCATATGACCAATTCAAACATTTTCACGTTTGGTGATCTATCCTGTTAGTCAATAAAAATGACGTATCTTGCATACAAAGTAGATATGAAAAAGATGTAAAAATGTATGGATTTCACAAGGATCAGAATGTGTTTGATAAGATTTTGTTAACCTCGGATGAGAAATTAATTAAGAAAATGTATAATTTTTTGTTAATTTTAGATATGGAAAGTGAACAAGTGAAAGAAACAATAAGATGGGCAAAAATTTTTGGTTATGCTACAGAATTAGAAAAATGGCAAATGTTATGTGAGAGAAACTATAAGTTAACAATGTCAACTTCATATAAAGAAAATTTGTATAAAATGCTTTATAGATGGCACCTTCCGCCAGCAAGATTAGCAAAAATGTTTAAAAATATGTCAGATAGATGTTGGAAATGTAAACATAACATAGGCATGTATTATATTTGGTGGACATTTGGGAAGGCAAAAGCATACATATATAGTTAGAAAAAATATTGGGCAAACAAGTGGATTTTAAACCTGAACTTTTTTTACTAGGCATTATGTCTGAAAAGATTAATGAGCAGAAATTATATTTAATTCTACATATTACCACAGCAGCAAAAATTATTTTTGCACAGTACTGGAAGAATGAAGGATTGCCATCAGAAGAAGAAATAATCACAAAAATATTGGAATGTGCAGAGATGGAAAGACTAACTATGAGGCTGAAAGACAAAGAAAATACAGACTATTATAAAATTAGGAATTTATTTTATTCTTGGTTAGAGAAAAGAATGAAGGATTAGGAAGTGAACATGTATTAGCTTAGCAAACACCAGACAACTTGTTTGATTGGAAAAATTAATATATGTTGATGGAAAAAAAATTAATAAAAAAGATTGTTGAAAAAAAAATGACGCATCTTGCAAATAACGTACATATAAATAGCCACACGGTAGCATATAATTACTCAAATGCCTCCTAAAGTTTGAATAATTCAAACATTTTCACGTTTGATGATCTATCCTGTTAGTCAATAAAAATGACGTATCTTGCATACAAAGTAGATATGAAAAAGATGTAAAAATGTATGGATTTCACAAGGATCAGAATGTGTTTGATAAGATTTTGTTAACCTCGGATGAGAAATTAATTAAGAAAATGTATAATTTTTTGTTAATTTTAGATATGGAAAGTGAACAAGTGAAAGAAACAATGATAAGATGGGCAAAAAATTTTGGTTATGATATAGAATTAGAAAAATGGCAAATGTTATGGGAGAGAAACTATAAATTAACAATGTCAACTTCATATAAAGAAAAATTGTAATGTTGGTTCAATCAAATAATAGAGGGAAAGCCAAGTTGGCATTTATTAGGCAGTTCTCTGAGTATACCAATGTTATTGCTTTCTCTAGAGTTTTCTTCCACATTTCTATGGGAGTCTGAGTCGTACCCAAGTGGAAAATCAAATTAACTTGTTGACTAACTTTTATTTCTCTATAATTGTATTGGTCCCCATTAAGTGAAGCATATATTACTTTGGTTATCCATTGGCCATTGGAATGTTCTAAGCAATGCTACGATTATTTCATGGTATTAGCTCTTAGTTGCTATAATGGAGATGTGATTCTACTACTACTAGAAAGTAAGAAATGTCTTAAAGAGGGAGAAATGTTTAGCTGAAAACCAAGTAAGTTTTCACAATACAGCTTTCACTTGGCAAAATCTGCTAGTTATTCTTGCAGTAGTGTGGTCCAGTGTTTGTACGTTTTTTTCTCCAGATCATAGCACATATTATCTTCAATGAAAATCCCCATTTAAAAATAAACATATGATCACAGTTCTGGATCAAGAAAGTAGCTATTGTTGCACTTTTTCTAATGTGATGTAGGTTTGTATGTATTGTTTGGCTGAACATAATACACTTGGTTTGGTCTTAATGTCTTGTGTTGTTGGTTGTAAATTTCAATATATGGCTTCACACAATGCAATTGTAGCTCATATAAACTTCCTATGTGTGGGTTTTGTAAACACTGCTTCCTAGATCTTCAGTGAAAAAGCAAGAAAAATGGTTGAATGCTATTTAAAATCATAGAGTTGGAAAGAGCTGTTTTAAGTCATTAAACCCAACCACCTGCTTTAAAGTTTCTTCCCAAACTTAAATAATGAAGGGGAACTCGCAATACTTCCTGATGGATTTCACGGTTGAACTGCTATTAACGTTAGGTATTTCAAATTTAAAAAATTAATTTGTCTTCCTGAAATTTAAAGCCGTCATTTCATACACATTGGGGTGATACGGAACATCCCAATGTTCTTTTGGCTACCTTCTGTGTAACAGAAGAGTCAGTTTGGCATACACCAAGTTAGAAACCAGATGGCCATGAGTTCTATGCCTTCGGCATGAAAGTCAGCTGGATGAACTTGGACCAGTCACTCTCTCTCAGCCCAACTACCCAACTACTTAGCCCAACATAGTCCTTGTGAAGAAAATAGGAGGAAGAGATATTTAGGTATGTTCATCGCATTAAGATATTTATAAAAATGATAAAGGCGAGATATCAAAATACATAGTAATAAATAATCTTTCTGGTATTTGAAAAAACTCACTCTCATTTACTTGTTAACTTCTTACATGCCACATTTTCATGACATATGGTGATATTGTAAGGTTTCAATGTTTATTTTAAATAATAATTTGATTTGGTAGGATATACTCTATGAAGAACATTGACCTATTTGTCACTCAAAGTGAATTCTTAAACATTACCTGTAAAATTCTTCAATGTTGCCTCAGATAGCTTTATCTCTCTATAACAAGCTCTCTGCCCTTGCTTAAAAAAATATAACTAAAATAATAATTCAATATAAAATACTGTACACAAAGAGTAGTTACATTAGCTAATTACAATTCTCTCAGCTTTAATAGCCCATATAGTTTTGCCCCATTAACAAACTATTTAGTGATATAATGATTTAGATTTTTAAATATTAATTTGACTTATAAGGATATATTGAACAACAATTATTTAGGCATGTCCTTATTGGAAAAGAACAAAAAAAATGTGGGCACAAGGATATTAGAAAGTAAATTTTGGTAGTGTATTACAGATTTTAAGGGTGCTTCTTGACAAACCAACTTTGGGATATAGGAAATACTCTTTCTGCATTTGTTGTGAAAAATGAAATTATATAGGCAATCTAAAATAAAATGCAGGTACATAATTCCCAGTTACAGCCAAGAAATTTGTACATAAAGTAAAACAACCTTTCCCAAAGTTTTTTTTTAAAAATAGAGAATTTTGGATTTGAATTAAATAAATCACTTCTACATTCCTTTTATTTCAGCAAGTTACAAAAAAAATTGACTATAACAATAGTTCTTGTATAGTAGTTGTTGTTGTTAGTTGCGAAGTCATGTCCAACCCATCGTGACCCCATGGACGACGTTCCTCCAGGCCTTCCTGTCCTCTACCATCTTCTGAATACATTTAATCTCACGCCTACTGCTTCAGTGACTCCATCCAGCCACCTCATTCTGTCGTCCCCTTCTTCTATTGCCCTCTATCTTTCCCAGCATTAGGCTCTTCTCCAGTGAGTCCTTCCTTACACTGCCCTAAAACTGTTCCATATTAATCAAAGTCTTTCTGGATTGCATTGGAGGGGTAACAATTGGTACCTATTCAATGGCAGTAGCCACTTATTCATTTTGGATGAAGATTATTTTGGGAAAACTGAAAAAAGTCTAATATAGTCTTTAATATGTGCAGGATCTATTCTTATCAAGGCATATAAGTGCAAAATAAAGTATTAATGTAATTACTAGAGCAAAACAGTGAGAAAATTTATCTCTTTGGATCAATGAAAATCAAAAGTGTGACTGAAAATGAATGCAACCACAAAGTTTGAAAAAATGTTTAATTGAAGCATGTTTTATTAACATGTATCTTTAGAACTGTAGTAGCAAAAATAATTTTTAATACATTTTATTGATTTAATTTGTAAGTCTGCCTAATTGTTATGTGACAAGCTCTTATGATTAAAAATACCTGCGTGGAGGGAAATACTACATATGAATGTTTAAATTTCTGTCTCTTTCCTTTAGATTGAAAATTTATCTTTGTATATATCCAAAAAATGCATTGGTTGTTCTTTGGACAACAAATGTCCAAAGACATTTTTTTCAATGTTTTGATGACTTTTATTTAAAAAAAAACCTGAAGAAAAAAGGGATTTTGATTAATAGCTCATCGATAGTCATACTTGCCAACTTCCAACCAATTAATGACAAAAGTGCCAAAATGATTTGTACATTTCCCACAGTGATTTTTTTAAAAACAGTTCAGATTCTTGAGGGCTTATAAAAGAAAATCTGAACAGCTATATCTAGTTATCTTTCCTGTGTTCTCTAGATACTGTACATCAATGGTTGAAGGGAGATCTCACGTGATGAATTTGTGATGAATCAGGCAAAATCATGTCATGCAGGATGTCTTTGAATCACTGGTTGGCTCTTGGTGACGAGCTGGACAAGCCCCTGCAGTTTTTTTGGTAAGAGTTCAGAAGTGATTTGTCATTGCCCTCTTCTTCCTAGGACTGAGATTGGGACTGGTCCAAGCTGGCTTTATGCCTAGGATGTTAAGGTCTCTTGGATTCTAGCTTGGTGTCTTAACTACTACACTGAACAGACTGTACAATCTGTTAACAGCAGCTAACAAATCCAGTGGTGGGATTCAAATATGTGTGAACAACCAGTTCTCTGTGTGGATGCTGCTTCTGGAAGTCCATTCTGGGCCTGGGCAACAAAAAATTAGCTTCCGGTTCTGCCGAACTGGTGCGAACTGGCTGAATCCCGTCACTGAACAAATCCCTTTCAGCCATTTTATTAAGTGAAAGTTCAGCCAGCCTTTCCATCCTGAAAATAAACATAGAGAGATGGGAGAGAGGGAGTCAAACGCCACATTATAATCCCATCAGCCTGATTTCAATCTTTATTACAAAACATTCAACACAAGGCAAAGTCACAGAGTTAATGTGCTTAACAGTGCCACACTAGCAAAGAATGATATATGAAACTAAGAAGAAATTCTTATGGAGGTTGATTGTCCCGAGAGGGCAGGGTCGGTCATCTGAAGGCTCCTACATATCCATCCCCATGATGGTTCTAATAAAAATCATTTCCCTGATCCTTTCTTTTAATAGAAAATTGGCTGGGGAGGAAGGCCAATATTTTATTTTGAGGGAATCTCTTTTAATCCCTTTTGGCACATTTCTCCTCCATTCACCCTGCTTAGAAAAGCTTTCCAAGCCACTATAGATTTCTGTCCACTTCATTTTTTCAGGCTTCAATCCAATTATGAATAAAAAAGAGCTTTTAAAATATAATGGAACGTTCCTCTTACAAGTCACAGCAGTGGTAAATTACTTGATGGTAGGATAATGATCGTTAACAGTTCTTTGAAGTTTACCAAATTATAATTCCTGCCAGACTATGTTTGTTAACTGGGATCATCCATAAAAATAAAAAATGTGGTTTAAAAAGTGGTATTTTTAATACACCAATGATGGGCTCCATCAGAGGTAGCCCGAAATCCCAAGACCCTACAGAACCCAGTTATTACTGCTTTGCAGAATATCAAAGTCTGTACCAATCTAGTCTCACAGGGATGCTATTCCACGATTCTGGTTGGCCCACACTGATTTCAACTCTCTCATTTGGGAACAAATTACCACCCCAACTAGGATGGGGACCAGATGGGAGGGCCCTATCGGGAGAAGGTGATTCCAAAAGTGGCTAGGAGCTAAGCCATACAAAAGACTTTTAAAAACAGAACCAAAATACAGAATTGTAACCATAAATCTAGTGGCAGCTAGTGCAACCTCCACTGTATCGGTGTAACAAGGCTGATGCAATTCTTACATGACAACATGTGGACAACTGCATTTTGCATCTACTGTCATTACTAAATAGTCCACAAAAGCAGCCCCATATGTGATACATTGCAATAGTCTACCCTGGCACCAGATCCTTTTGTTCCAGATATGGCCAACACACCGGTCCCTTGGCCACAGCCTGTGCTTTGTTAGTCACCTGGAATGCCCTCTAGGTAGAAAGATGAGACTCAAGTGATGGTGATTTTAATAACAGCAAATTTTTGTATTCCATTTTTAATATTTTAAAGATATTACAACCTAATAATGTATGTACATTTGAAATCCATAGACCAAGAAATGAACTTATTTTGAAACTATGTTTATAAAAATAATGTGTGCAAAAGCAGAATTCTTGCGTATGCATCATTGAAGGTAGTCAAACCCAAATGGTTTTGGTATCCACACAGTTCTATTTGCGTGTCTTCAGTATTTTTATGATTATCTTGAAACTAGGCCTGGCTTCCTGCAGACATAAAGACTCTTCCTACTTGCAAAGTTGAAGATTTTGAACCAGAGGAGGAATCCAGCTGCCAGGAGGTCCTAAAGATTCTCAAAAATCTGTTCTGAAGACTCTCCAGAAGGGTGGAAGTGGTGATAAGAAGGCCTGCAGGGTTGACGGAAAAGCTTGCCTTACCCCTCCTGTGCAAAAAACTCCAGGAGATTCAATCACTGTAGAAATAAATTCTGGGTCCCATCTAATAATATGAACTCTTCAAAAAAAAATATTAGAATTGTACAGGCAATGTCGCTTCTAAATGTAGATCTCCACTGTACTTCTGTTACAATGCATTCTTACATTTAGAGAACGTTCAGAGATTGGGCAGAGGACTGCTACTCTACTAAGGGTTTCCCACACAAGGTGAAATAATTGGTTAAGACAGCATATAATAATATATGACTCATAATAGATCAGCTATATGTCGGGGGGGGGGGAAATTATGGGAAATAGAACCAAATGAACTTAAAATTTTATCCTGGTTTTTCTGCTTCAAAAAGAAGCGTCTGGCAATTGAACTAAGATTCTCAAGATGATTGTGGGACAACGCTCACTGTAGACTGTATGTTTGTTTCACATTTTTAACTGAAAGGGTTACAACGAGGCTGCGGGAATCTTTTCGGTTTCTGTGTATTGTTATCCTTCCTTTCAGTTCTTCACCTACAGAAACAAAACAGAAATACAAAGATTTTAAGTCCTATAACCAAAGGTGTCTTTCTGCCAAGCAAACAGATATTATTTGCTGATTTAAATCCCTCCTTCTTTCAGCCTCTCCCCCCCAAGGTCTACCCCAGAGAAGATGGAGGTAAAGTGGTGTGACACAGCACAGGTGGAAAGGAATACAAATCTTCATTGTTAAAGAACATTATCAGTTTTTCCTCTAATACTAGTAAATAAATGTATTTATTTCTGCTACAAATTATACGTTGTTCAATTTCCCAAAGTCTTTTAAAGACTTATAAATAAATTAAAAATAAAATAAAAATAACAAGGAAAATAAAACAGCCGTCTAATGCTAAGAACAATAAATCTTCTTGTCCATTATCACAATATTAATTTTACATTACACGGTGAAGTTCTGTTGTTTATTGGTAAGATTTCTCCTCACTAATTCTAATGATGTTGACCCTCCTGCTTTCTCACGTATCTTTTTAGATTTCAGCTTAATCTGGATGACTCAATTCTTGGAGGTGAATTCATTTATTTTGTAAACACTGCTTCCTAGATCTTCAGTGAAAAAGCAAGAAAAATGGTTGAACGCTATTAAAATCATAGAGTTGGAAAGGGCTGTCATTAAACCCAACCATCTGCTTTAAAGTCTCTTCCCAAACCTACACAATGAAAGGGAACTCGCAATATTTCCTGATGGATTTCGCAGTTGAACTGCTGTTAACATTAGGTATTTCAAATTAAAAAAAATAATTTGCCTTCCTGAAATTTAAAGCCGTCATTTCATACACATTGGGATATGCATAGCTGTCCTTGTCTATGGAGATTCTCAATTATCCAGGTCATTGTTGTCCCAAAGGTTCTTTTCCAAAAGGCAACTGGACTTTCTTGATTTTTTTCCTTGAAAACATTTCACTTCAGTCAGATCTGAAGAAGCTTCTTGGGTGAGAAGTGAAATGTTTTCAAAGAAAAAAAACTAAGAAAGTTCAGTTGCCTTTTGGAAAAGAAGCTTTGGGACATGTCCACCTTTCTTGTCAAAGTGACAAGAAGCAATAAACAGAATCAAAAGAGCAATATAGCCACAAAACATAAAAAAAAAAAATTGCTATGGAGAAACTTTCTCAAAACAAAAAACTTCAGGTATGGTAAATAATCTTGGAAAAATTTTATGTAGAGGTTTCCAGTTCTTTTATTAACTTAAGTAATTGAAATAAAATGAAGCAGAAAAAAAAACTATTGAAAGTAGTATTACACTTATTAAATATATGTGAATATTTAATTTGTAATTTGTAAAAGATGTAGCAAGCTTTTGTGGCTGCAAAGATGAAGTAATCTTGCTTTTATAACTAAATAGATTAATTTTCTGATATGAACAACAAAACCTGATGATACTTACTTCAAAACGCCCACAGCAAAAACAATTATAGGTAGTCCTCGATTTACAACAGTTCATTTAGTGACTGTTCAAAGTTACAAAAGCACTGAAAAAAGTGACTTATGACCATTTTTCACATTTACGACCTTTGTAGCATCCCCCCCTGTTCACGTGATCAAAATTCAGATATTTGGCAACTGACTCATACTTACGACCGTTGCTCTGTCCCAAGGTCATGTGATCCCCTTTGCAAACCTTTTGACAAGCAAAATCAATGGGGAAGCCCGATTCACCTAAAAACCATGTTATTAACTTCTCAGCTGCAGGGATTCACTTTACAACTGTGGCAAGAAAGGTCGTAAAATGGGGCAAAACTCACTTAACAAATCTTTCACTTAAATGACAGAAATTTTGGGCTCAGTTGCGGTCATAAGTCGAGGACTACCCGTTATTAGGTGAAAAATGCCAGTAGTTTCCTAAAATGTTTGTCAATGTAAAGGTTTCAATTCTCCCCCAGATTATTTTATCAGCCCACCGTCTCACTTAAATTATGCATAAAGGGATTAAACCTGCTTTTTAAAGCAAATGAGTTTGTGAAATTTGATGAATTTGTGAAATCTAGAAAACAACATTTCTATAAGAACTGAGGAGTTTTCAATCAGGGCAGCCCCCCCCCCTGTTATTTATTTCCAAGCTAATTGCATTAAGTGACCCAGACAATCAGCTTTATTCATGGTCCCCAGGCAGATCTTTGCCTTTCTTGCTCCAACGGGCTACATTAAATCCCCTCTTGTGTGCCACCATTTCTGTTCCTGAACTAAAGCAATGGCAGGGCAATCAGAAGATCTAGGCCAATTAATCAATGCCACGGGGAAATAAAATGACTGATGTGCTCTTCACAGCTTTGCTGCTCTCCACAGTAGAGAGGATGCTTTTCAACGCTGAGCTGCATCACCTCTGCTCAGGAAGAAGCAGGCAACATACAAGTCCCGCTGTAGTTTGATCAAGCCTGCATTCATTATCCTGCTCCTATGGAACTGACACTCTTTCGGTAGAGAAAAATCAAGTCTGATTTGCCTTTAACAAATCTTCCAGAGAAGCATGCAATTATAATTACTATGTTTTTGGTGTGGTTTTTTTTTTTTATCCCTTGGAGGCCTAGTTCTACGGCTGAGCACATTATAGCAATCGTCATAGTTGAGCTTTTACTTGAATGGAAATGTTACCCACAGACATACTGCATGATCTTTATGGCAGCTAAGGGCTAAAAGTAATTATATTACTGAACCGCAAGATGGGAAATTGTTCATAAGCTAATGAGATTAGTAGCAGTAAGCTTCCAGAAGCAGCAGTATAAATATGCCATATCTAGGACTGCACAACATGTAAACTGGCTCATCACTAATAAGCCAAACGCTTATTACCTTGAATTACCTGCTTTGCATGTTCTGTACTTCAGATTCAGTTTGGAAATGTGCTCTTAAATATATCTCTTGTTTCTATGATTTTAAATTTCAAATTAAAAGTGACTATTTTTGAGTGTGTTTATTGAAATCAATAAAAACTTCAAATATTAGCCAATAGTCTAGAAAGAAGGCTATCTCGTGTATGATTTTTGTACTTCCTGGTAAAATAAATCTTACTATCCACACATGTGTATATTGTTGAGTGCACGCTTTTATTGATATAACTCAGTGTTTCTCAACCTTGACAATTTTAAGGCATGTGGACTTCAACTCCCAGAATTCCACAGCCAGTGCTGGCTGTGGAATTCTGGGAGTTGAAGTCCACATGCCTGAAAATTGTCAAGGTTGAGAAACACTGATATTATAACTGAACTAAATTAAAGTATCAAGAATGAAGTAGCCTTCAGTAAAATACTCCATTTAAAATATCTGGATTGCTCATGGTTGCTCTTTACCATCTAGAAAACCACACAGCAAGGGACAATTAAAAACATAACAAGTGCACTTGTGCTATTTTATTGCTAATAGAATTTGTTGGTGTAAGGCTTTTGTCTTTCAGCTTAATTCATTAAGTCAATACAAAAAAAAAATAAAGTTTTGGAAAAAAAATTAAGATAAGTTATATACACTGACAGAAAGTGGAAAATATACTCTGTCAGGGAAGATACAGAATACACACACAGAGAGACAAATCTATTAAGAGCTAGGAAGAAACTAGACAAATTTAGTATAAATTAGTATAAATAAAACTACAGCATATTCAGGCAATAGCTGTGTAGAATTGATAGTATGCATTTCTGTTATTCAACTTTTTGATTTTTTTTTTAAATGCCCTTTAAGAGGAGTGTAAATTCTCTTTGTCTGTGAAATATTAGATGGGTCTTGCTTCACTCATTTAGCCCTGTAGCAAAATATTGAGAACAAATGAAGCACAGTGGCAATGTTCTATTGAACCTCATTCTGTATCACTATCCCATTCCGGAGCATCATTCACTCAGACCTCTTGACTCACTTCCTAGTAAGCATCATCAGCTACGCAAAGTTCATTTTGAAAAGCACATTACCTTGACCTCTTAGAGCAGTGGTTCTCAACCTTTTTAATGCCGCGACCCCCAACCGGTCATAAGTCGAGGACTACTCAACCAGTCGTAAGTCGAGGACTACTCAACTGGTGCAGCACCGTTTGCAGAATGGGACTTTTGGTGGGCTCAGCAGGGCAGAGACAGCCTGGACAATTCCTATTGGCTTTTGAAAGCCAATAAAATTAGACTCTACTCAAGAGAGTATTCTATTGGCTTTCAAAAGCCAATAGAATAAAAGGGAGTAGCACAGCTAAGGAAAAGGGGAAAAAAATTGTGGACTGCGTTGTTTGGCGACCCCCGTGAAATGGTCGTTCGATCCCAAATGAGGTCCCGACCCACAGGTTGAGAACCACTGTCTTAGAGAAAAGGAATGGCATGAAGCTAACAACGGTGTTGATATAGAAAAGGAGTTTGAGGAGGGATACTTTGCTTATGCCGACATATTTTCAGAAGTGCCCCTTTTACATACTTCGGTGCTTTTCCTGCAATCAAATGGTCCTGTGATTTCATACGATGCCCTTTCTAGCCAAAACCAAAAACTTTCAAATCAGAAAAGCTGCATGGTAGAATATTACATTCGCGTTACAATTAGTTTATGGAAACAAAGAATCAGAAAACATGAGCCCCATGTTGTCTGAATTATTTTTGCTTGCCAAATTGAGATACAACGAATAATTGCTGTAAATAAATGCTAATGTAGAAGTAGTATCCTTTTGTGCAGCAAACAAACTATCATCTAATCCATACACTGGGTAAAAATCTGATTAACCATTAGCCTTCTCTACACAGAATTGCAGAATGTTATAAATTGCTAAGGACTTTGTGGGTCATCTGTTCCAAACTTCTGCAAATGCAGGAAGTCTATTAAATCATCCCAACAGATGGCCACTCAGCTCATTTGTGAGGGAACCCACCACTATCCTAGGCAAACTGTTCAGAAATCCCTTCTAATACTCAGCCCAAATCTCCTAGGCTTGTGGTTTAAACAAAGAAACATATATGCTCCCTTGTGCACAACAACTTTTAGTTATTTTTAGACTGCTATGATATGTGTCCTGAATTTCTCTTTTGTAAGCTAAGAATGTCTACATTCTTTAATCGCTTCTCATACAACCTGTCTGGTGGGCAGCTTACCATCAGATTCTCTGAATCTGCACCAGTTTCTATGCATTCTTTTTAAAGTGTGGTGCCTAGAATAAAAAACAGTACTCTAAGTGCAGCTTAACCAGTATAAAGAACAAAGGAAGTATTATGTCCTGTAATCTGGCCATCCTTTTTTGGTTAATATGACCCAAAATGGCACTAATCTCTTTAGCTACTATAACATTGTTTGTTGTATTTAGTTGGTGTCTCAGAAGTACTCCAAGCAACTTCCCATATACACTGCCATTAAAGCATGTTTCTCCAATCCTGTACTTACACATTTAATATTGATACCTTATGACGGTTGTCAATGAACATCATCCTTTTGGGTTTGGCCCAATATTTAACCCTCTTGAGGTAATTCTGAACTGTGATTTTTTTTTTTTTGTCCTCTATGATGCCAGCCAAAACTTGTAGTTTAGTAGCATCTTCAAATCTGATTGGCATGCCTCCTATTCCATGCTATTTATAAAGCTATAGAAAAGCACTAATCTGAAGACAGAGTCTTGGGAATCCTACTAAGTCAGCACAGAATCATTTAATAAAAGGTGTGTTGGTTCAACCAACTGCAAAATCTAACGAGCCACATTACCCTCTAGCCCATATTCATCCATCTTGTCCTTAAAGAGTATAAGCAGAGATTTTGTCAAATGTTTTATTGGGATTACAATATGCTATGTCCACAACTTTCCTTTATCTTCCCCCCACCACCACAGTGATTCCTTTTGTAATAAAAAGAGATAAGTCTAGTTCAACAATTTGTTTCTGCAAAACTCCATGTTATTTTCAGGTAGCAATACCTTTTTAAACAGTTTGTAGGCATGCTACTTGACAATCTATCAATATTACTAGGCATTCAACTAACTATCTGTCACTTCCTAGAGCTTTTCTATTGCCTTTTTTAAATACTGGGACTATGTGTGCTCTTCCAATACCTAATCAATTCCCAATATTACAGTCAACAGTACTTGGTCACTTCTGTCAAACGCTATGTAATTTGCAAGGCCCAGAAGTCTTACATTCATGGAAGATAGATGGATTCTTACAGGTCAGTGGGGAACCTGAGAATGTCAGTTTATTAGTTTTCCTACATCATGTTGAGGATTTCCAAATGTCTCCCTTGCACTCCTTCCATTACCAGCTGTGCATGTAGCTAATGCCTAACACTTCTCTATTTGAATATGTGTCTGTGTTTCTCTCCCACATCCAATTTAAAACCCTTCTGAAAAAGCTAACAAAATATTTGCGAATTCTTTTGGCAAATTTGCCCATTTTTCTTTGTCCTTTTCCCTTTCCCTTTTTCCCCTTTCCCAATGTGCATATTAACTATTTATGTTTATAAAGGTAATGTAAAGATGAATTCCTATGCATGTTAAAGTTGCAGAGTCATAGAAAAAAGATAAACAGTTGCTTGAGTTAACTTTTTGTGTCTAGATGGATACAGATACTTTGTTTGGGGGGGAGGCAATGATGAGAAAATGGTTTGTCCTTTTCATTTTCCAGGATTTTATTTCAACTTTCCAGACTAGCCTACAGTTTCCTGGCAGTCTCCCATTTTATTACATACCAAATTTATTACTAATCTACTTACCCTCAGTAGATTTAAGTATTTCCACCTAGAATCTTAAAAATTCTGGATCGGTGTTAAAATAACTTTCATATATGCTACAATGAAAGGCAAAATGGTAATAGTGGTGGCACAGAGTTAAGCTTTTGAAATAATTTTGTTAATTATTGTTAATAATTTATTAACAACCAATTTGTTCTGAAAAGTATAATGGCATGGCGAAAAATATATACCTTCCTCGACAGGAATTGGCTTCTCCAGAAAAAACACTGTTTGTTTCCAGTGTGTCTTGGTGCAACAGGGACTAGTTGAAAGCAGAATCTGCAGTAACAAAATTTAGAGAAGCCTGATAAAGTACAAGTCTAAATAACATGCTTTATTAATTCATTATACAACGATACACATTAAATGTTTGCAATACCAAATAGACTTATTTCCAAACACCTTAAGGCAAAAAGCTGCCAACATATGAAATATATTTTATAATTAATTTTGACCATGTAGCTTTCAAATACTTACTGGTTTTTTACAATTCTTCTCAAAATGCACATCAAAATATCCAGCAATTGCCTGAATTAAATGGAAAACAAAACAGAAATTTTAGTTTACTAGACCTACTGAATAAGTTAAAGCAGTGGTTCACAACCTGTGGGTTGAGACCCCATTTGGGGTCAAACGACCATTTCACGGGGGTCGCCAAACAACGCAGTCCGCCATTTTTTCCCCTTTTCCTTAGCTGTGCTACTTCCTTTTATTCTATTGGCTTTTGAAAGCCAATAGAATAGACTCTCTTGAATAGAGTCTAATTCTATTGGCTTTCAAAAGCCAATAGAAATTGTCCAGGCTGTCTCTGCCCTGCTGAGCCCGCCAAAAGTCTCATTCTGCAAACGGTGCTGCACCAGTTGAGTAGTCCTCGACTTACGACCGGTTGGGGGTCGCGGCATTAAAAAGGTTGAGAACTACTGAGTTAAAGCCTATTATGCCGTTTTCCCAATAACAGAAACCAGCCCATTGTATTGGTGGAAGAGATTAAAAAGATACAATCCATGTTAAGCTTTATAATGCTGAAAATCCAACACAATATTTTCTAAAAGCCCTGCTTCCTTTACACTCCTGCTTTCACTCTTGTGAAGCTCTTCTTTCAAATGCTGTTTACCTTTGTTGATGTGCCCATTAGGATTGCTGGGCAATGTCTTTGAAGCTACTTCAGATCTTGTATCATCAAATAACAGGAAAATCAAGTTTCCTGTCCTGCCCAGTGACAACACAGTCCAAAACCAGGACTGAAACATGCATTTTTCTGATTTAATATATGGAACTTTATTGACTCACAGAAAATGTGGATGTGAAAATGAACTGTGATTTACTAATAAAACTCTTCAAATATAACAATGCTCCGTGCTTATGTTTCATATTTTTGTGTCAGCCATATTGGAATGGGTCAAATCTGAGATCTTCTGTGCAACATCAGCATTAAGCACTACTTTGGTGGTAATTGAGGGAGAAATCTTGCAACAAAATGGTACAAATGCAAGATGATACAATCTTCTACTGCATAGTTCCCCAACCTTTTCAGCTTCACAGACAGGCTGGGGGGGGGGAGAGGGTTTTTGTGCATATGGTAGGCAAGCGCGTGCACGCAACCAGCTCCATTTGGGTGGCGGGCACCCACGTCTACTGCTCGCGCAAATGGAGCATGTGCACACGCGCTCACCCACAGCTCACATAAGTAGGGATGCACATGCACGCTCCCTTGCCTACTACTTCCCTGGCCCGGTTCCAAAAGGCTCAAGTCCTGGAAGTGGGCCACAGCCCAGGAGTTGGGGACCCCTGTTCTATTGGATTAATCTTGTCCTATAATTCATGACAAAAGAGCTTGAAATCAAGAAAGTAAGGTAAAAAAGCAAACTGTTATATAACCAAGACATTGTGCTGGTTGATTCTCTAATTCTTACAAGCCACAGTCACATAAGCTCAGCTTTGCAGCCCAGTCTACAGTCACAAGAACAGAAAAAAAATGCTCTCACCTTCTCTTCCTCCCCTTGCCCAGTGTCACATCCCTTCCCCCCCCTTTGTTTTTAAGCCTTTCTGTTTCACTTTTTCTTCCACATTTACCCTCATGCACATTTCCTTTTTCTCCTCAAAATAAAGTAGCTGTTTTGCTCCACTCCTTGTTGTAAAAGAAAAGCAAAATATTGCAGCTCTGTAGTAAGTAAACCAAAATGACTGCTACCCATCCAATCTAGGCACCAGGGTGCTAGCTACAGGCCAAGGCAAAGGGCTCCTATTATCTCAATTCCAAATTATTCAGCAACTTGTTTAAGAATTCACAGAATCTGCCTTTCCCTATCTGTTCCTTTAGTCTCTCCCCTGCTGTCAGCAATTCAAGATAGATCAGAGGAGGAAAATCAAGTCATGCATCCTGAAACTGTTTTTATTATGTTACAGTAACAGAAGCTTGCAAATCCAAATGCTTCTTCCTCCTCTTATCTTCAAGAGATACTAAGGGAGGGTCAAACCAGAGATGCTTTCTCAAATTACATTTCTGGCTTTTTTGTTTTAAAATCTCCTTTCCTCAAGGTTACTTTTACAGCCCATTATGTATTCCTCTTGACAAGCAAAGAATAACGGCCACAGTTTTCAGATATATTTGAATTTGAAAAGAAAGGTGGTTCTTCATGGAGAAATAGCTTTTAAAAAGCCTATATTGTGTTCCACAGCCAGGCCTGAACCATTTATCAGCACTATTTCAGTGTTGACCAAGGAAGAGGAGGAAATGACTCTGACTCAACCTTATAAAGACCAAGTTGCTTTGGCTTTTTGCTCTCCCCCAGGGATTGATGATGTGCCATCTTTGACTCTTGACAGGGTAGCACTTCTCTAGACAGAAGAGATGGCAGTCATTGTTAGGGGAGCCTTTGCACAAAAATATCTTGTGCATCAATTGTGCCATTCCTGGCCTGGGAGGCCTTGCTCACAGGAACTCATGACTTGGTCGCTTCTTAGCTGAATTACCACAATGCATTCTATATCTTGTTGATCTTAAAGACCAGCTGGAAGTTACAACTGCAATGGAATACAGTGGCATGTGGTGCTGGGTGCACCTTGGGTTGCCCATTATCATATCACTGTTGTGAGAGCTGCCAGGTTTTTTTCTAGATTGTCAGTTTGTCAGCCCTGATCAGGAAACCAAACTCATGCATGCTAATGCTGATTTAAATATAAGATTACAGTTAACAAATCTTTTAAGTCTGATTGTGCCTCCCCCCCCCCTTTATCTTCATGAGCCGAGGTGGCGCAGCAGTTAGAATGCAGTACTGCAGGCCACTTTAGCTGACTGTGTTCAGCAGGTCAGCGGTTCAAATCTCACCGGCTCAAGGTTGACTCAGCCTTCCATCCTTCCGGGGTAGGTAAAATGAGGACCCAGATTGTTGGGGGCAATGTAAATATATATATATACATTGCTTACTGGTGTACACTGCTTAGAGAGTGCTTGCACTTAAAGCGGTATATAAGTCTCACAAATAAATAAATAAATAAATGTGAACTAGAGAGAGTCTTTTTTGAGACACTTTCTCAAATTACAGTTATGGCTCTGACTCAGATTTCTCTTATCTAACTGCTGTTATCACTTTTGCCCATGACACAATTCAAGATGCTAGTTATTACCTTTATAGCTCTATATAGCAGAGAGTTAGGTTATCTGTGGGACTGCATGTCCATGACAGTATCTGCCCTTCCCATAAGGGCATACCTCCTATCTCTTTGCTTACATGCTACTATTTTATTTATTTAAATTTATACGCCACCTGATTTCAAATGACTCCAGGGTGACCGACAAATTAAAAATATTAAAAACAAAGAGAAAAGAAATACAGCAATGAACAAAAATGAAGAATAAAAAATGGCAAGGACGATAACAAGAAGAATAGGAAAGAAAATAAACTCACATAACCCAAACAAGCTTCAATCCCCCTTGCCAAAGGCTTGGGCAAAGAGCCATGTGCTTCAGGATGGTTCAAAATACCAGACGCATAAGACGTAGGAAGCACAATTTTTCTGCAGCAGCCCCTGGTATCCTGCAGGTCTCCGCCCTTTTAGCTGTCAGGGATGCCAAAATGTTAGCTTTTCCTCCAGGCATTGGGATAAGGCAGGTTGGAGCCTGGAGATCACATTGTTCAATGGATTCCAAATTGCTGGTGAGTTGCCAGGTTTTTGTTTTGCTGTCTTTGGTTTCATAAGATAAGCAGCCATGTAAGTCAAATGCATACATATTCATTACTCATCCTAGGCCAATAATAACACAGTTACACCTAACTAATTATAAAAAAGGGAAAGTGGGATATTCATTTATATAAATGTATCTGCAAGTCAAATACTGCAAGACAGTTTCAAACAGGCTTAGTAAACAAAAACTGTTAAAGTGTGAGTTTTCTATCTTTTTTTTCTTCTTCTCACCCCAAGTGATGGAATGTGCTTTCTACTCTCTGCCTGACTTAGCAAAACGTTTAGATTGGACTGTACCTTTTTCTTTGGAATAACTGGTTGCCAAAAATAGTTACAAATCACTAATGAAGACAGGAATTGCCAAAAATAGTTACAAATCACTAATGAAGACAGGAATTAACTTGAACAGGTAAGCATAAACAGTAATAGAAGGTTATAGTTTGTGTCACATCCTATAAAACTTTCAGGCTGGGAATTCAGTGGTTTAGTCATTCAGTTTTCTTTTACCAAAGATAAAAGTTTAATTTTAAAGTAAGTACTAAGAAAAGTTTAACAACTAATGTCCACAAATTGGAGTGTTACTTGCATTGCACAGATTGATCTTTAAGCCTAGATCACAAGAAATATTAATAAAAAATAATTTCTAAGAATCCATGTAGGAAAAAAGGCAGTATTCTAGCACTAGCCATTTTTAAAGTTTAATAACAAACATTTAGATTTGGCTCCGACACCAGTCGGAGTAGAAGTTGTACTCTAATAATGAGCTTCACATTATTCTAATAATTGGCTAGGTTCAACTTTCTATTTGCTGCATTTTAATTAATTGACTGATTCATTGATCGATAGATACTTCTTAGCAATGACAGTAAGCAGTTTACAAAATTAAATATAATTGCATCAATTGGCATGCCCATGGTACAAATACAAATTTATTGTTTCAACCTCTTTTCCTGTAGTATTCCAACAATGCGTACTACAAGTAGGTTCTCACAGTTAAGGGTCTTATTCAAGTCAATTCTGATTGGAGAAAGCAATCCTCGAAGTACCTAGCTTTCAGCCCATGAAGGATCTCTGAATATCTATGATATCTATGATCAAGTTCCATAAGGCAGGTGCACAGTGAGTTCACTGAGTTCATCGAATCTAGAGATAATGGTGACAAGTTTCACTACAGCTATGCATTTATTTTTAATGCTGGATTCTTTTGCAATGTCTTGAACTCAAGACATCCTTAAAGTCTAATATTACTTCTTCCACAGGAAAGATTTTAAATCATGAGCTAATTTGTGTGACTTAACGCCCTACAGCATTCTGAGCTTAATTTTTTTAGAATTGCCTAATTA